TTTTATATAGGCAAAGAAGTGTTTTTATTTTAATTTTTCTTAAATATCATTGAATGTTGTTTTTTTAATGTTTATTTTGAGAGCAAGAGAGAACAAGGGCAGGGGGGAGCAGAGAGAGAGGGAGAGAGACAGAGCATCCTAAGCAGGCTCTGCATTGTCAGCACAGAGCTGGAGGTGGGTCTCGAACTCAAGGAACCATGAGATCCTGACTTGAGCTGAAACCAAGAGTTGGACGCTTAACCGACTGAGCCACCCAGGTGCCCCCAAAAAAGTGCTTTTAAAAATTATATATGAGGGGGGAGCCTGGGTGGCTCAGTCGGTTAAGTGTCTGACTCGGTTTCGGCTCAGGTCATGATCTCACAGTTCGTGAGTTCAAGCCCCACATCAGACTCTGTGCTGATGGTGCAGAGCCTGCTCGGGATTCTCTCTCTCCATCTCTCTCTGCCCCTTCCACACTCTCTCTCTCAAAATAAATTAAAAAATAAACTTAAAAAAATAAAAAAAAAATTGTATATGAGGGTGCCTGGATGGCTCAGTCGGTTGAACACCCGACTTTGGCTCGGGTCATGATCTCATGGTTTGTGAGTTTGAGCCCTGCATCGGGCTGTCAGCCTGCTGTCAGCCTGTCAGCACAGAGCCTGCTTTAGAACCTCTGTCCCCCTCTCTCTGCCACCCTGCCCCCATTTGCACTCTCCCGAAAATAAATATTTTTTATTAGTTTTATTTTTTTAAATTTACATCTAAATTAGTTAGCATATAGTGCAACAGTGATTTCAGGAGTAGATTCCTTAATGCCCCTTACCCATTTAGCCCATCCCCCCTTCCGCAACCCCTCCAGTAACCCTCAGCTTGTTCTCCATATTTGAGTCTCTTATGTTTTGCCCCCCTCCCTGTTTTTATATTATTTTTGTTTCCCTTCCCTTATGTTCATCTGTTCTGTGCCTTCAAGTCCTCATATGAGTGAAGTCATACATTTGTCTTTCTCTAATTTCGCTTAGCATAATCCCCTCCAGTTCCATCCACGTAGTTGCAAATGGCAAGATTTCATTCTTTTTGATTGCCGAGTAATACTCCATTGTATATATATACCACATCTTCTTTATCCATTCATCCATCGATGGACACTTGGGCTCTTTCCATACTTTGGCTATTGTTGATACTGCTGCTATAAACATTGGGGTGCTTGTGTCCCTTCAAAACAGCATACCTGTATCCCCTGGATAAATACCTAGTAGTGCAATTGCTGAGTTATAGGGTAGTTCTATTTTTAATTTTTTTTTTTATTTTTTTTTTCAACGTTTATTTATTTTTGGGACAGAGAGAGATAGAGCATGAACGGGGGAGGGGCAGAGAGAGAGGGAGACACAGAATCGGAAACAGGCTCCAGGCTCCGAGCCATCAGCCCAGAGCCCGACGCGGGGCTCGAACTCACGGACCGCGAGATCGTGACCTGGCTGAAGTCGGACGCTTAACCGACTGCGCCACCCAGGCGCCCCATATTTTTAATTTTTTGAGGAACCTCCAGACTGTTTTCCAGAGTAGCTGCACCAGCTTGCATTCCCAAAAAATAAATATTTTTAAAAAATTATATATGGATTTCCTAACTTGCCTTAAAAATCTCAATTATATACAGATTTTGTAATTTACTTCTTAAATAGAATCTGTTTAAAAACACCAAAAGATAAATAAAAAATAAAAACACCAAACTTTTTTTTTTTATTAAAAATTTTTAATGTTTATTTTTGAGAGAGAGAGAGCATGAGCAGGGGAGGAGCAGAGAGAGAGGGAGACACAGAATCCAAACCAGGCTCTGAGCTGTCAGCACAGAGCCTGACAAGGAGCTCAAACTCATGAACCTCCAGATCATGACCTGAGCCGAAGTCGGACGCTTAACTGACTGAGCCACCTAGGTGCTCCAAAACACCAAAGTCTTTAATCCTCATAGGATATATTTTACATGTGGGGTAGGGTACTGGATCCAGTAGTTCTTTTCCCTAGAAAAGATGATGGATTCAGTACCACTTACAAGCTATTCTTGACCTATAGATTTGAAATTCCAACTTGATTAAACAGTGAATTCCTGTATTGGTCTCTGGACACTCCTTCACTCGTATTGCATTTACTTATGCTCATATCACACTGTTTTGAATGGTATACAAGTCTTAATATTTAGTGGTATATATATAAAGGTTGGTAATGTTTGTTGCATTTACCGCTGTAGGTGTTCAGCTTGGGGTTAATTCCATTGGTGGTAACATGTTTACCTAATTCTTGGGATCATTGCCTCTTTGTGTTAGATCTGCACATTTGAGTAATCAATCACTCTTGCAGTCGTTATAGGGTCACATAGTTACAGAAAGTCCTTCATCTCTCAGCTCCGTGTAGGCTACTTAATGGTCTGTTGGCTCTATCTGCAGGCAACGGGGCTTGCCATTTGTGTCTCCATAACTGAAAGAGCAAACATCTCTTTAAGAGTGTATAGACTGTTTTCATAGGTAAAAACTGTCTTGTATGGGTCCCTGGACTGATGGGTTCTACCTCCAGAATCATAGTCAAGTGGGGTTGACACCAGTCACATGGCTGCTACTGGGTCTGCATTGGAGTCTGTGCTATACTGTCCCGTTGTCAGGGCCATCATCCTTTTTTGGACCCTGGTCAAAGGTCGTCCCTCCAAGACCTTGGCCAACACCAAGACAAGCACTCTCTTCAGGGTCCAAAGATGGTGGTAGCATTTCTAGTTGTGCGACTAGGCAGGCACAAATGGCCCCAGACCACAGCTGAGAGGGCCTGGAGCCAATTCACAAGGCTACTTAGGGCCCACAGCCATGACCAGGTTCTGCAGGCCTGCCTCAGGGGGCACTGATGGGCCAGTCTCCCCCAGGGTCCCAGGATAGGCAGAACTCCTCCTATATCGTGGCCTGGTGCCGGGAGCTGGGTTGTGGGCTGCTTTAAGATCTGCAGTCAGACCAAGGTTAGTAGGCCTGCCTCCAGGCTCACAGATGGACACATGTCCTTCTGGATTCCTCTGTGGGGAAGACCACAGCTAAGAGAGGCTTCAGGTGGGGGGCGCCTGGGTGGCTCAGTTGGTTGAGCTTCCGGCTTCGGCTCCGGTCATGATCTCATGGTTTGTGAGTTCAAGCCCCGAGTCGGGCTCTGTGCTGACAGCTTGGAGCCAGGAGCCTGGAGCCTGGAGCCTGCTTCGGATTCTGTGTCTCCCTCTCTCTCTGCTCCTCCCCTGCTCGTGCTGTCTCTCTCTCTCTCTCTCTCTCTCTCTCTCTCTCTCAAAAATAAATAAGCATCAAAAAAAAATTTTTTTTTTAAAGAGAGTCTTCAGGTGGGTCACCGGCTGGCTTGCTCAAGGTCTGCATCTCAGAGTGAGGTCAGTAGGCCTGTTACCTGAGAGGCATGGCTGGATGTGTTTCCTTCCAGGGCCTGAGTGATGGTGCTGGTGACAAGGCCAAATGGGACTGTAGCGAAGTCCACATGACGACATGGCTGTTTCCACATGTGTAGCTGGAACCACAGCCAGTGAGCCAGCCATCTGGCCATAGGTGTCCCTTCTCAAAATGACCCTCCTAGTTTGTGGACTCTACTCGGGTTTTGTAGTCTCCTACCTGGATTCCAAAACTTCCACAAAGCACTTTTGTTCATGGAAGGCTGACTATTGTTGCTGTGGGGGGATCCAAGTGGGGACCTCATATTCTGCCATCTTGTGGTCCCAGGAATTTCAGTGCATTAATCTTAAGGAAATCTTAAGTTAATTTATCACATAACTAGATCAAAGCAAAAGATGGCTAAGCCAGTAGTATCCAAAATGTATTTGGTCACTTTTCAGTCATTGCTGCATTTGGTGGTGAGTATGTGTGTTGCAGGAGAGGAGAGAAGCAGGCTCTCAAACTGGAGAAGCATGTCCTTGATTTATACCTGCATCAGTACAGACCAATGGACACACGAGTAAATCTGACCTCTGATATTCTGTTACCAGTGAGGTGTTCTGTAGGCTCCTCAACTCACCCTTTCCAAGATTAAACTGATGTTTTATCCTCCCCACAATTTTCTTCCTCTTATTGCCATCAGTGTAAAAGCTAACACTATCGACTCTAGCACCCATAGAATTTTTCTCCAGCGGTTGTCAGGCTGGTTTGGCCCCCTATGCAAAGGCAATGTCTAGTCATTTTTAGTTATCACACGTATGTGTTGGCACCTAGTGGGTAGACAACAGGGATCTTTTAAAAGTCTACACTACACAGGGCAGCCCTCACAAGAAATTATTAAACAGACCAGAATGTCAATATTGAATTTTTGAGATTCTGTTCTAGACTGTTCAGGGCTAGTATTAAAAGATTTCTCCGGGGCGCCTGGGTGGCGCAGTCAGTTAAGCGACCGACTTCAGCCAGGTCACGATCTCGCGGTCCGTGAGTTCGAGCCCCGCGTCAGGCTCTGGGCTGATGGCTCAGAGCCTGGAGCCTGTTTCTGATTCTGTGTCTCCCTCTCTCTCTGCCCCTCCCCCATTCATGCTCTGTCTCTCTCTGTCCCAAAAATAAATAAATGTTGAAAAAAAAAATTAAAAAAAAAAATATTTCTCGAGGGGCACCTGGGTGGCTTAGTCAGTTAAGTATCCGACTTTGACTCAGGTCACGATCTCGTAGTTTATGCATTTGAGCCCTGTGTCGGACTCTGTACTGACAGCTTGGAGCCTGGAATGTGCTTTGGATTCTGTGTCTCCCTCTCTCTGCCCCTCCTCAACTTGTGCTCTGTCTCTGTGTCTCTCTCTCTCAAAAATAAACATTTAAAAAAATCTTTTTTAATTAAAAAAAAAAAGACTTCTCTAAAAAATCCCAGCAACTGCCTATTACCTTATTACAGAATTAAAGATATTATCAGAAAGGAATCTCAGTTTTTTCTTCTTGTTACTTTTTTATTGTGTTTAAATATCTGTAACAAAATTCACTATTTTAAACACTTAGGTATACAATTCTGTTCACATCAAATACATTGGGTTTTTTTTCTGTTTTTGTTTTGTGCAACCATTACCGCTGTTTCCAGATGGTTTCATATTCCCAAAGGGAAACTCTACCCATCAAACACTCATTTTTCATTCTTCTTTCCCTCCACCAGCTGCCAATCATGCAATGAGAAAAGGAGTTTCCACCTGAGGTCCTGGGGCATATCTTAAGGTAGCAATGATGGAAAATAAAGGTGCAATTAAACATGGATAAGAAAAGAGGGATTGATAGGAGGACGACAGAAGGCAAAGAATGAGGCAGTATCTCAGACTTCTATGCAACATACTACATAGAAACTCCTAAGCAAACTACCACTCAAATCACATTCCTACACTGGAAGTTGAAAATCACATCCCTTGTTTCTATGGTAGAATCCATTGCAATCACAAGCTATTTGTGGGAAATGGGGTAAATGAGAACATCTCTGTAAGAAACATCATAATTGCATGAAATTATACATGTAAAACAGGATGAACAGTTTTGACATGGCAAGGACTTTAATTACAACTGCAGTAGCCTTTTCATGCCCCTTCTTCATGTGAATAATGCACCCAAATAAATGCACTTGAAGAGTATCAACATTTGAGAGGGCAGTTGAGGAAAGCAGGCCAGCACTTGATGGAAGTGTTTCACATCTAATGTTGGCCATGTCAGGAATGGCTACAGGAAATCTGACCAAAGAATTTTGGAACTGTAATTAGGGAAGAAAGGTAACAAAGGAACTACTAAAGAGGTTGTTGAGAAACAAAGACAAAGACAAATACAAGCACGTCATGGGTGCTCTGGGAACAAAGGAAATGAAGTTTCTATTACAAGAGAAAAATAACCACAAGATTTAAATCCACAACATTTGCATTTGGGGCCCACAATATCCTCTCGGTTCTGAGACCAGTGGCCCATCAGGGCCCATCTCTCTTAGGTGAAGACTTCCCAGGGCCCCCATCACATCCTTTTCCTCAGGCTGTAGATGAAGGGGTCCAGCATGGGGGGTACCACAGTGTACACCACGGAGGCAACCAAGCTTCTCTGGGAAGAATGGTTCCAGCAGAACTGAACTACACTGCCAGGCTTCTCCCATAGTAAAAGGAGGTCACAGCAGTGAGACCCACCAGGTGGAAAGTGCTTTACATTTCCCCATCTAGAAGACATTCTTATTAAGGAAGAGACAATCAGACTACGAAAAGAGGATCTAATGAGACAAAAAGTCGGCAAGCGTGGTTATTGACAAACACAGATGTTACTGATGAGGGTATCAGATCGTTGGAATGAGGACAGGTAGGCTTTGCAATAATCCAATGATGCCACCGAAGGCCAGCGTATTCTACACTGCAACCCACACGAAGCAGTGAAGCCTACACCCCCACCTACACCCAAGAGAATCACTTCATATCCCAACCTCCTCCAAACATAAACCTAAGACAAATGTGCCCAGGTCACTTCTGATCAGGATCATCACTACATTTGACTCGGCGTGTACTCCACTGGTTTAAACCCAAACGAACATGACATTAAGCTGCTGTGGCCTCCAAGGCCACCCACAACAAAACTAAAGGCTGCTCAAGGGTCACGAGTGTATGAATGTGTCAACTCAGTACGGAAACAAGGTTCTGGTAGATTCTGCGTCTCTATCCAAAGGTCAATTTGAAGAACTGCCAGTGGTGGCAGCAAGTACTTCAGATTATCAGGACTTGCCATATTCACAAGGTTCTCTATCTCCCACATATGAAAGGATGAGAAACTAACCAGCAAGTCACGTGCCAGCTGCAGCTATTTCTAAACACAGGCAAACAACATAATTGGTTTCTTCCGGGTTGTGGTGACCTAGGAGCTCTGTTCCCAATCTCTCCGCACACTGAGATTGAAAGTATTTTCTAACCCAGTACTGGGTGTGTAGCTCTCTTTGCAGAGCTATGAAATCTGGGTGTATAACCCTCACCATTTCTAAAGTCTTTTCTGACCCAGAAAGATCAGGTGTGAGACAGAACCAAGAGCATTTTCAGGAAATTTAGAGACATATACCACCCCCACACCTTCACCTCCATGAGGCACCATCGGTGGACTCTCTGAGCAGTGAACTAACTACTTCAAATGTTCATCGTCTTCACAGTATTAGACAAGGTCCACGCGACCAGACAACCCAGGTGGCTTGAACAGCATTAAGTCTAACGGTGGTAGTCTCACTTGGGACCAGGCTGCAACCAAGGTGTAGAAACTAGACCAGCAAACTCTCAGGGGCAGGAAGCCAGACCCTTCCCCAAAATGGTCAGGGCAGAGTGGCACATGTTCATAACAGATATATAAACCCATCCTATAAGCTGAGTTCCACGTCTCTTACATTTAACCACTTCACTGTGTTCCTCCAGCGTGCTCTGTAGGAGACTGGTTGCCTTCCCACATTGCTTACCTTCACGGGGCATCTAATTAGTGAGTTTTTTCATGTATTCAGTGGGACACCTAGAGACTTTTCCACATTCCTCATATTCATACAGTTTTCCCCCAGTGTGGTGGTCATGTTTTTGAAATCAACTGGGTAACAAATTTGGTCACAATTATTCTGTACATAATCTATGGTGCATTTTTTAGGTGTTACGTTGTGACCATGACGTGAAGGCTTTCTCGCACTCCTTTATGTCTAAGGGGTTGCTCTGCGGTATCAGTTTTTACGCATGGAGTTCGGCTTGAGCAAACGGTGAACGCCTCCCCTCCGTGTGTGCCCTCAAAGGGCTTCTCTCCAGTGGGACTTCAAACGTGTATTTGCAGTTGTGGAAGTGGTGTAGGCTTTCTCACATCCCGTACACTCACAGGGCTTCCCTCTACTGTGAGTCTGTATACGCTTGTGAAGGCTGGAGGACCAAGTGAGGTCTTTCCCACATTCCTTACATCAACAGGGCTTCTCTCCAGTGTGGATTCTTAAGTGTTGAATCCAGATGAAAGCAGCAGTGAAAGCTTGCCCACAGTGCTTACATTCACAGGGTTACTCTCTAGAGTGATTTCTCAAATGGCTATGAAAATAGGAGAAAGTCCTAAAGGCTTCCCCACATTCACCACATTGAAAGGGTCTGTCTCCAGTGTGAGGTCTCAAGTGTTCATGAAGATACGAGGAACTACCAAGGGCTTTCTCACATTCACCACATTCATAGGGCTTCTCTCCACCGTGAGTTCGTAAATGTTTTTTAAGGACTGAGGGCCAAACGAAAGCTTTCCCACATTCCTTACATTGATAGGGTTTCTCTCCAGTGTGAGTTCTCAAATGTACACTAAGTCGTGAGGAATTAGTGAAGGCTTTCCCACATTGCTGACATTTATACGGCTTCTCTCCAGTGTGAATTCTCAAATGTTCATTAAGAATTGAGGAACTACTGAGGGCTTTCCCGCATTCCTTACATTTATAGGGCTTCTCACCACTGTGAGTTTGAACATGTTTACGAAGGACCGAGAGCCAAGCGAAACGTTTCCCACATTCCTTACATTTATACGGCTTCTCTCCAGTGTGAATTCTCAAATGTTCATTAAGAACTGATGAACGACTGACGGCTTTTCCACATTCCTTACATTTATAGGGCTTCTCACCACTGTGAGTTCGAACGTGTTTACGAAGGAGCGAGGGCCACTGGAAGTGTTTCCCACATTCTTTACATCGATAGGGTTTCTCTCCGGTGTGAAGTCTCAAATGCACATAAAGACGGGAGGATGTAGCGAAGGCTTTCCTACATTCACTACATTCAAAGGGTTTTATTCCAGTGTGAAGTCGAATGATGTGATTATTGAGGCACTTGGAATCTGCATAAGATTTCCCACATTGTTTACATTCATGGGGTTCTTGAGTGTGTGTCTGCACATGCTCAGTATGGCCTGCTGAGAAGACTGAAGCCCTTATAAACGGCTTGCATTCATCAAAATCTCCTCCAGCGTGAATCCTCATGTGCGCCTGAAAACGGGAATGATTAATGAATGTTTTCCCACAGTCACTGCATTCCAAAGACTTCCCTGCCAGGCTGGTTCTCTCATACATGATAGGTGGAGTCAGGCGCAAGATTTCACCACACCGATTCAACTCAGAAAGCTTCTCTCTAGTAGAGTTTTTCTTTTGCGGAGTAAGGAAGCCATTGTGATACGGGTTACACTCAAAAGCGTTCTCTCTATTTTGAGTTCTCACGTGTGTCTTCAGGTTGAAGTGCTTCCTCAAGTCTTTCCCACTTTGCTGACAGTCAGAGAGTTCTACTCCATGGTGGGTCCTCTCCTGTTGATGAAGGGATGAAAGATGATGACAGCGTTTTCAGACTGATGATAAGTTTCAACCTTATAATGCTAAAAACATGGTAAGGACTCTTACCACTTTTATTACATAAATACAGTTCCTGTTGATTTCTTTCAGGTTAAACCAGGGAATTCCTCTGCCAAAAACTGATGCCATTATTCTACTCTCGTGATCATTCCAGTAAAAATTGATTTATTTATCTGTTTATGTATTTATTTTTTTTGAGAGCACGCACACGAGTGTGAGCAGGGGAGGGGCACAGAGAGAGGGAGACACAGAATCTGAAGCAGGCTCCACGCTCTGAGCTGTCAGCACAGAGCCCAATGCAGGGCTCAAACCCATGAACCGTGAGATCATGACCTGAGCTGAAGCTGGACGCTTAATAACTGACCGAGCCACCCAGGCACCCTTCCAGTAAAATTTCATGAAAATGTTTAAAGACTCAATGACAAGTTATATCTTGGGGAATGTGTACTTGTGGTATCGAGGAATCAACAATTTTCAAAACAGATTTAGATTATAAACCCTAAATCATCATATTCAGAGTATCTCTGACTGCTTTGTCTTTGGTCAATGCCATTTGTCTCAAATATCTCCAAACTGCACTGAGTTTTTATAACAGAACTACCAATCTTTTTTGAATGCGGAATAGAAGAAATATCATAAAAAGGGGTGTCTGGGTGGCTCGGTCAGTTAAGCATCAGATTTCAGCTCAGGTCATGATCTCATGGTTTGTGGGTTCAAGCCCTGACTCAGGCTGACAGTGTGCAGCCTGCCTGGGATTCCCTTTCTCTCCCCTTCTCTCTGTCCCTCCCCCGCTCGCTCTCTTTCTCTCCCTTAAAATAAATAAATAAACTTAAAAAAAAAAAAAGAAATATCTCCAATCAGTCTTACTTTTTGTATTTCACTGGTTGTTTTTCCTCCAAAAAAATCCTGGTGAGATTCTGACCCTTTAGTCTGAAGTCCTGTCTCCCATTCTGAAGTAAAACAAAGACACAGATTCAAACATCTGTAGAAATAAACCATAGGCTAAACAATCTTAAAAGAAGACTCAGTTTTATTTTCATTTTAAAATTAGTGAAATGAGAAAGAAAAAAGACTGCATCAGTTTGTTCATGGGAAAAATACAACGAAAAGTGTGTGGGAACACACTTTAGTGGCTTACTAAAAAATAACTTTCTGAAAACCAAATATGATGTGAAACTATCAAAATATTATCCAGGTAACATAATATCATCAAGTAGACACATGAAAAACATGTGGACAACAAGGACACGCCAAAGATAAACCTGTAGAAGAACCAGGTCATTTGTGACATCACAGAAATTTTCAATAGAAGACTGAAGGAAGTTCAAGGTATCCCAAAACATCAAAGACGAATGGCTTCAGCCCTGAGACAAAATGTATCTTAAAAATGTTACACATTGGGGCGCCTGGGTGGCGCAGTCGGTTAAGCGTCCGACTTCAGCCAGGTCACAATCTCGCGGTCCGTGAGTTCGAGCCCCGCGTCGGGCTCTGGGCTGATGGCTCAGAGCCTGGAGCCTGTTTCCGATTCTGTGTCTCCCTCTCTCTCTGCCCCTCCCCCGTTCATGCTCTGTCTCTCTCTGTCCCAAAAATAAAATAAACGTTGAAAAAAAAAAAAAATTAAAAAAAAAAAAAAAGGAAAAAAAAAAATGTTACACATTAAAGTTGCAAAGATGTCATACCTCAGATTGACCAGTGACATGCTTGTCATTCACCAGTGATGTCTGTCACCACACTCACCTTGCAAAATACCCTGCTCCACTGCCCTTAGCTCTTGTTGTTCCAACCAAGCGATCAGCTTAGGTTTCGACAGTTGATATTCTGTCCACAGGAAAAGGTACATTAATAGGAGAGACTCACGCAAGAGATCACAAGGCTTCTTATGAATCCAAAACTATATATATTTTTTTAATGGTTTCTTATTTACTTTGAGAGACAGAGAGAGCACAAGCAGGGGAGGAGAGGGAGAGGGA